TTTATATGGGGGCGGGGGTATAGTTTAGCCTTTGTCTTACCGTTAGGGTGTAGATGGGAGCAGGGTGGGGTATAGGTTAGCCTTTGGCTTACAGTTAGAGTTTAAATGGGAGCGGGTTGGGGTATAGGTTATCCTTTGGCTTACTGTTAGAGTTTATATGTGAGCGGGTTGGGAAATAGGTTAGCCTTTGGCCTACAGTTCGAGTTTATATTGGAGCGGGGTTAGGTATAGGCTAGCCTTTAGCTTACAGTTCGAGTTTATGTGGGAACGGCGTGGGGTATAGGTTAGCCTTTTGCTTACACTTTTGGTTTATATGGTACCCTATCAACACAAGTAGGGCTCGTAACATCATACACAGAACAGACAAGCATGATTGAAGATCAATAGTGGCATATTCCTGCTACTTGTTAATTTTAGTCGACCTAATAACAAAGTATATCGTTTACTCGACTTGCAATGATAGTCGACTTATCGCGATAATTATCAGGTAATTATCGTGGTAAGTACATGTACCAAGCTATTATGATGACATACAGTTGGCACAACGTTACATCATGTGCCCACGATGAAAACTGTGGGTTTATAACGTCTGCACAGCTGTTCGATAGGTATGGTAGTTAATATATACTCAGGAATGGCCTGTGAATAAATACCATTTATTACAACATACAGGCTATTTCCGTGCAATATTGCCGTTCAATAAAAACGATATAGCACACGTTCAATAAACATGCAAATGAGTCAGGTCACCGTAGGAACCAGGTCATATTCCTAAGCACTACAACTTCTACGTTTGTAAACGTAACTGGTCAACTTCATCAGTGTTCCAGTTTCATGGCGGATTCCATAGTCTATTTTCTGGCTCAGTGATAGGCGGAAACATCGAGGTTCACATTCACCAACAACACTCTCCAAAGAAATGCGCTTGTGTTATAGAGAGTGACAATCACTCCAGTCCCTGTAAACTTTTAAAAAGTGCAGACTTCGATGAGTATTGTGATGACCTTTACCTTGACAGTGCACGCGCCGTTGTGCCGAATATGTGACGTCACTGCTATTTTCTTAAACGCCAATTCGTTGAATGGTTTTCGTATAAAGCATTATTGTTAATGTTGTTATGATAATTATTAAAAGATTGGTTGATGAAGAAAATCTTAATGATTGTTTGTTCATTGAAAAGGTTCTCGGAGAGAAGTTTCTGAAACTATGTTTTGTGGCGCAGCGAGCTCCAAACAAAATGCATGTTATGCGTCTTTTCGTCAGCCATCGGTACGGTTTATATAGAGGAGACTGTCAAGAAAAAGAGTGTTTCTCGAATTATATAATAAATAGAATATATCACTCGTGTTCATGTAATATTGAATTTATTAAACTGGTTTATTAGGGCCCCGTATCGGAGATACGGGTGCCCTATAGTAATCACTCTGTCTGTCGGTTCGTCCACAAATTTTGTGTATTAATAACTTTGGTATCAATTGACCGATTTACATAAAACTTGGTCAAGAGGTTCAGTGCACAAAAATACACACTCAGGTCAAGGTCATAAAGTTCAAAGGTCCAGGTCAATGTTTGCATCTTTTCACTGATGAGCATTTTGTTATGACGTGATGGAGCAAAAATGATCAGAATTAAACAAAGAGTCACCTGGCCGAAGGTCAAGGTCATCGAGTCAGAGGTCTACGTCAAGAGTCGAGGTCAAATTGTGTAGCTTTTCACTAATGAGCAGTTTATGACATTATGAAGCAAAGTTGGTCGAAATTAAACAAAGAGGCACACTGAGGTAAAAAGTCGAGGACAAAGGTCAAGGTCATTAGGTTCAAAGGTCAAGGTCTGTTTTTGCATTTTTTCACTGATGAACATTTTGTTATGACACTATGAAGCAATGTTGGTCAGAATTAAATAAGGAATCAACTGAACAAAGGTCAAGTCAAGGTCATTGGATCAAAGGTCAAGGATAAATTTTGTATCTTTCTACTGGTGAATATTTCGTTATGATGCTTTGAAGCAATGTTGCTCAGAATAAAACAAGGAGTCAATTGACTAAAGGTCAAGGTCACTGGGTCAAAGGTCAAGGTCAAATTTTGTATATTTTCCCTGATGAACATTTTGTTATGACACTATGAAGCAATGCTGGTCAGAATTAAACAAGGAGTCAACTGACCAAAGGTCAAGGTCACTGGGTCAATGTCAAGGTCAAATATTATATCTTTTTACTGCTGAACATTATTTTTATGTTATTATGAAGCAAAGTTGTTCAGAACTTAACACCGAGTCAAATGACCTAAGGTCAAGGTTACGGGGTCCAAAGGCTCAAGGTCAAGTTTTGTATTTTTCACTGATGAACATTTTGTTATGATATTATGAAGCAAAGTTAGTCGGAATCAAAGAATAAGTCAACTTACCAAAGATCAGGGTCACTGGGTTAAAGGTCAAGGTCATTTTGGTCCAAAGGTCAAAGACAAAGTGGATCTCTGACTTTGACCCTGGCTCTTGACGGAGGAGGTTTTTAAAGTGAAATAAAACAAAGTTAACAAATGAGTTTTGCACCGGTATTTACATTTCTGTTAGCCTAGAAAATATGCAGGTGGAAGGAAACAAGACTCACATCATAGTACATGTTAAATGTATATTTTGCTTCCTTGCGATTCTTTTTGAAGTCCAAATACCAGACGTCAAGCTCAGCTATATGGGCAGATTGCTTCTTGATGATTTTGGCGGATATATTGCCACAAGACGGGGCCCTTACTGACCTGTCAGTGTTCTAGTTAATTTCATATGAAATCATAAACTCGTTCAATGAATTCAATATTACATGAACACTCGTGTCAGATCCTCTATCTATTTCATATTATCTGATTAAAGCATGTTGACATGCTTCAGCCAGATTCACATGGTTATCTTTATCTAACAGTAATGGACACATCACGTACCATCTCCACAACCTTTACCTCAGAACAAATTCGTGGGCACCAACAGTCCATTGAACTGTGACAAAGATCCTCGCAAAGGGACTATTTCCAGCTGTGTTAAAATAACATAATAGTCAGCCCCCTCATAACTTTTGTTTAGAAGTGCTACGAGATGTATGCTGCTGTTTTAACTTTTTTCAGCACCTTATACATCTGGAGTTATTAATTTGAATCCCTCTACTAATAATTTAGATGATTAATTAACCTAATTACAGCATGGGGTCGAAAATGGAATATTAGCCTGAAAGCATTTTTCTGAAAAATATGTTTGCATCATAATACTTGGGAAAGAACTTTTTCTTTAATGTAGTGCTTTACTAATGTATTTATCATATTTCAAATATGTATGCAAAAATCCAGTCCAAAAAAAGGGATGAAAAGTATTCATTTCGCACAACAAACTACCCTGTGTACCCAAAAAGATGAGGGCCTAAGACACCTCCCTGGCGTCAACTAAATCGTAATGCACTTGCTTACCAAAACAAAATGTTTGGCTCAGAGGGTGAAAACAACCAGCTCTCTCCAAGAGAGCAAAGTCAGAATTCGTAAAGATTATGAAATATGGGTGTATCAGTCCTCTCAAGACATCATCCGTTGTCAGTTTTGTTTCAGACATAAAAGCCAGACTAAATATAATGTTTCGATTCAGAACAGCACAACATCAAATGATTATAATCCAATAAAAGATTACTACTGCCAATAGCCAGTTGTTCAAAGAACTATGGGATTGTGTGCTCAAGTTTACTTTATTATTTTGGGTATCATAGCAATCTTTAAAATCCAAAACAGCTGCAACTGTTTTCTTGTTAATCTAGAATCACAAGTTTGAAACAAACTCAAAGCCTCGCGTCATTTTTTCTTCCTTTATTTTCCAAGTCTGCCATTCGAACACATTTCATACTCTTGCAACTTGCAAATAATTATCTGTAAATGTCATCAGCTGTTAGTACAGCGTCTAACTTTGATATATATATTAAAACAAAGTATCAAGCAAGCATACAATCTCTGTGTCATCGATATTGCAAGGACATTGTCTGGGCACCTGACAACTGATTAGGCAGTAGAATAAATGTTTTGATGGTCATCTTGAATTAAAACCAACGAATCTTTTCCAAACATGATCTCTGTTGATAAAATATTCATTCCATCGAAACTGGAACAAATTCGTTTTCTTCTTTTCTGTCAGCTTTAAGTCAAAACGATTAGACTATACACATAGTCATGACTTCTAGACCATATGGTCATTTGATCCCTCCTTTGAATATGTTCCACCACATGTTTTGGATTGATATATGTGTCACTGGTACTTCATGACCTAGTCCTTCTATAATCAAAATAAAAATTCTAACACTGATTCGACCATAACTCGTTCTAAATAATATATATATATATGTTAATCAAAGTTCTCCACCTGAGTGCTATCCAGTGATGTATCTTTGGTGTACTTCACTAATTATAAAGGCTTATGTGTTTCCTGTGTTGCAACATTTCTGAGGTTGTTTTTAAGGTCCGTTATTTTAATCTTTTACAATTCCCGACGTTAAAGTATTTAACTATTCATTCCCTGTTGTAATATTTCTAACTTTTGTTAGCTGAAGGATGTTATTAATATAATGTTGTAATATCTCTGACGTGTTTTTGTTCCGATCTGTTGTTAGCTGAAGGATGTTATTATAATGTTGTAATATCTCTGACGTGCTTTTGTTTCAAACTGTTGTTAGCTGAAGGATGGTTTTATAATGTTGTAATATCTCTAACGTGTTTTTGTTCCAATCTGTTGTTAGCTGAAGGATGTTATTATAATGTTGTAATATCTCTGACGTGCTTTTGTTCCAATCTGTTGTCGGACTTGTTATATCCCTGCAGCTGATGTTTAAGGTCTATCTGTTCTATAATGAAATTTCTGTCACTGTCTTAACATGCAGAAACCCTTAATTCGTTTATGTAATATTCATGAATTTAACCTTTTTAATAGTGTAAAAACTTACTTTACAAATGACACATTGATATATCAACTGTTTTATATCACAGCTGGCTGCAGAAACATCCCCATTGAAGTGCCTGTATAGATCTACCCGGGTAGCCTATTACAGGGTGAAAGAGGAGGTCTTCCACGAGAACCCCCCAATATCCATGTTCCATGGGCTAATATCAGAAACAGAAATGCGGGAATTACTTTGCCGAGCGGATAAACAGGTAAAGTGTTCAGTCAATCCTTGGACTGTCAAAGTGTCACTGTCATTAATAATTATATGACTAATATTGTGTAAATAGTATCGATTATTTCTGTAACACGCATGGCTACACTGTCGAATAATTATTCTGAGGACTCTAAGATTCACGTTGTCTCACTGCAACAGCCAATTTGGTAAATCTCATCGAATCATTGAGAAGGATTTTTCCTATTAATAAAGTATCCTTGTCTAGCGTTGACTATCCGATTGATATTATGCCATTGTCATCAGGTAATATGTGATTCACCTAGTATAACTGTCCTCCGGTTAATTTCTATTAAGTAAAACACTTTACTTGGTAAATATGTGAAAATCTTCTTTCAATTTATGATGTTTTTAGGAATGAAATATATAATGAACTATGTTTTATTCTGCTTAGGAAGATCTTATTACTGGTGATTATAGCGAATTCGATTGCTGGTACAATGATGAGACAGTTTTCGTTATACAATTTACATGGTGTCACACGTGTTCACTGTAAAATATAACAAGTATCTGAGTGTGAATTACCTACACGAATGTGTTATATATTTATAACAAGTATCTGAGTGTGAATTACCTACACGAATGTGTTATATATTTATAACAAGTATCTGAGTGTGAATTACCTACACGAATGTGTTATATATTTATAACAAGTATCTGAGTGTGAATTACCTACACGAATGTGTTATATATTTATAACAAGTATCTGAGTGTGAATTACCTACACGAATGTGTTATATATTTATAACAAGTATCTGAGTGTGAATTACCTACACGAATGTGTTATATATTTATAACAAGTATCTGAGTGTGAATTACCTACACGAATGTGTTATATATTTATAACAAGTATCTGAGTGTGAATTACCTACACGAATGTGTTATATATTTATAACAAGTATCTGAGTGTGAATTACCTACACGAATGTGTTATATATTTATAACAAGTATCTGAGTGTGAATTACCTACACGAATGTGTTATATATTTATAACAAGTATCTGAGTGTGAATTACCTACACGAATGTGTTATATATTTATAACAAGTATCTGAGTGTGAATTACCTACACGAATGTGTTATATATTTATAACAAGTATCTGAGTGTGAATTACCTACACGAATGTGTTATATATTTATAACAAGTATCTGAGTGTGAATTACCTACACGAATGTGTTATATATTTATAACAAGTATCTGAGTGTGAATTACCTACACGAATGTGTTATATATTTATAACAAGTATCTGAGTGTGAATTACCTACACGAATGTGTTATATATTTATAACAAGTATCTGAGTGTGAATTACCTACACGAATGTGTTATATATTTATAACAAGTATCTGAGTGTGAATTACCTACACGAATGTGTTATATATTTATAACAAGTATCTGAGTGTGAATTACCTACACGAATGTGTTATATATTTATAACAAGTATCTGAGTGTGAATTACCTACACGAATGTGTTATATATTTATAACAAGTATCTGAGTGTGAATTACCTACACGAATGTGTTATATATTTATAACAAGTATCTGAGTGTGAATTACCTACACGAATGTGTTATATATTTATAACAAGTATCTGAGTGTGAATTACCTACACGAATGTGTTATATATTTATAACAAGTATCTGAGTGTGAATTACCTACACGAATGTGTTATATATTTATAACAAGTATCTGAGTGTGAATTACCTACACGAATGTGTTATATATTTATAACAAGTATCTGAGTGTGAATTACCTACACGAATGTGTTATATATTTATAACAAGTATCTGAGTGTGAATTACCTACACGAATGTGTTATATATTTATAACAAGTATCTGAGTGTGAATTACCTACACGAATGTGTTATATATTTATAACAAGTATCTGAGTGTGAATTACCTACACGAATGTGTTATATATTTATAACAAGTATCTGAGTGTGAATTACCTACACGAATGTGTTATATATTTATAACAAGTATCTGAGTGTGAATTACCTACACGAATGTATTATATATTTATAACAAGTATCTGAGTGTGAATTACCTAAACCAATGTATTATATATTTATAACAAGTATCTGAGTGTGAATTACCTAAACCAATGTATTATATATTTATAACAAGTATCTGAGTGTGAATTACCTAAACCAATGTATTATATATTTATAACAAGTATCTGAGTGTGAATTACCTAAACCAATGTATTATATATTTATAACAAGTATCTGAGTGTGAATTACCTAAACCAATGTATTATATATTTATAACAAGTATCTGAGTGTGAATTACCTAAACCAATGTATTATATATTTATAACAAGTATCTGAGTGTGAATTACCTAAACCAATGTATTATATATTTATAACAAGTATCTGAGTGTGAATTACCTAAACCAATGTATTATATATTTATAACAAGTATCTGAGTGTGAATTACCTAAACCAATGTATTATATATTTATAACAAGTATCTGAGTGTGAATTACCTAAACCAATGTATTATATATTTATAACAAGTATCTGAGTGTGAATTACCTAAACCAATGTATTATATATTTATAACAAGTATCTGAGTGTGAATTACCTACACAGATATATCATATATTTATAACAAGTATCTGAGTGTGAATTACCTACACAGATATATCATATATTTATAACAAGTATCTGAGTGTGAATTACCTACACGAATGTGTTATATATTTATAACAAGTATCTGAGTGTGAATTATCTACACAGATATATCATATATTTATAACAAGTATCTGAGTGTGAATTACCTACACAGATATATCATATATTTATAACAAGTATCTGAGTGTGAATTACCTACACGAATGTATTATATATTTATAACAGGTATCTGAGTGTGAATTACCTAAACCAATGATTTATATATTTATAACAAGTATCTGAGCGAGAATTAGCTACACCAATATATTATGTATTTATAACAAATATCTGAGTGTGATTTAGCTAAGCCAATGTATTATACATTACTTACACCAATGCATTATATATCTATAACAAGTATCTGTTTGTGAAAAAACTAAACATAAATATTATATATTAATAACAAGTATCTGAGTGTGAATTACCTAAACCAATGTATTATATATTTATAACAAGTATCTGAGTCTGAATTACCTACACGAATGTGTTATATATTTATAACAGGTACCTGAGTGTGACCTAAACCAATGTATTATATATTTATAACAAGTATCTGAGTGTGAATTACCTACACGAATGTGTTATATATTTATAACAGGTACCTGAGTGTGAATTACCTACACAGATATAATATATAAAGCGAGAATTAGCTACACCAATATACTACATATATGAAACAAGTATCTTAGTACCTTTTCTCTGATTCTGAATATTTGTCAGATGTGATGGAATTGGCAACAGTTTTATTGGTTAAGGCTGAAGGTGAAAACAAACAACGAGGCCCACATAAATTTTACCAGAGCTACTAGATATTTGTTTTATTTTTATTTTTTACCTTACAAGAGAATACCCAAGAGCAAGCCAAACACAAACAGTTGTTTGTATTTATTTACGAATAAAGGGTTTTAATTTTCAATGCAAAAAAAATGAAGCAAATGATATTATGTGTAGAATTCGATCACTGTAAGATATACATGAAACTATGTATAGCAATATTGGCAAGTGAAATATTTCAACAAAGTGTAAGATAATACCCACTGTAAGTTTAACATATATATTGTGTTACAAACTGTGATATCCATTACATATATGTTGTGTTACAAACTGTGATATCCATTACATATATGAATAAAGTTTAATCAAACAGTGTAAACTGTCAATAGAGTGTAAACTGTCAATAGAGTGTACACTGTAAATAGAGTTACACTGTAAATAAAGTGTACACTGTAAATAGAGTGTACACTGTCAATAGAGTGCAAACTGTCAATAGAGTGTAAACTGTAAATAGAGAGTAAACTGTCAATAGAGTGTAAACTGTCAATAGAGTGTACACTGTAAATAGAGTGTACACTGTAAATAAAGTGTACACTGTAAATAGAGTGTACACTGTAATTAGAGTGTACACTGTAATTAGAGTGTACACTGTCAATAGAGTGTAAACTGTAAATAGAGTGTACACCGTAAATAAAGTGTACACTGTAAATAGAGTGTAAACTGTCAATAGAGTGTACACAGTAAATAGAGTGTAAACTTTTAATAGATTTCACATTGTAAATAAAGTGTAAACTGTAAATAAAGTGTACACTGTCAATAGAGTGTACACTGTCAATAGAGTGTACACTGTCAATAGAGTGTAAACTTTCAAAAGAGTGTACACTGTAAATAGAGTGTAAACTGTAAATAAAGTGTAAATTGTAAATGTTACATCTAAACAAACAGTGACTGTGTATCTTATCCCTACAAACAGCTGAGACAGTCACTGACAACGGAGGAAAACAAACGTTGGACAAAGCACCGAGTCAGTCAATCGTAAGTATGTCAAGTTCTCAATATACCCCGCAAACGAAGTGAGAATTATAGATTATCACACTGTATTTTCAGAGTTTGAACGACAAACTTTGAAAACACTGTATGTAAACTATTTATCATGTATGTGTCAATACGGACACCAGCTCCCATTCCACATGGACAAATGCATGTTTATACTACTACCTTATTTATTTCTCGATTTAAGGAACTCATCTTAACACCATGTTTTCCAAATAACTTCTAAGCTCAATGGTCAACGATCGGGGAGGAATATAATGAACCTAAAAACTACGTAGAAAAAAATATATTTTTAGAACAATCTTATCAGCATTGGCTTTTCCGTATGCACATTTACACCTGAAATGGTGTTGTTATTCTCACAATATATTTCCTAAACTTTGTATTGATATGTTTATGACGGACTATTTTCTTACGCGAATCACTTTTTTGTGGACACTATTTCCGGTTTCGGACGTCATCTGGCGTGAGCAGACGTTCTTTTTTTGAGAAAATACGTTTCCAAGTGCTCGGGAATGGGAAAATCCGTTTTCAAGTTCTTCTCAAGTCGTTCTCAACTTCTTCTCATACTGACAACCAATGCTAATGAATTTTTCATGCTACCTATAGGTGGTATAAAGTAGTATATAGATAATAAATAACCCTGTCCGTCCGTCTGTCTATTTGACCATCCGTCCATGTCCTTGTATTCGCATATTCTCTTATATTCTTTATGTTACTTGAAAAAAGTGAAAGAACACCATACATAGATGTGCATGAAGAAAGGACTACTGCCTTTGGGGTTATAGTCCTTGAAACTATACATTTCCGCTCTAACACGTGTCAGAGCAACTCCTACTGGACTGTTTATCTGATTTGGTTGTGACTTGTCACAGTGATACAACATCATAGGTAGATATGCACGAAGCGAGGAATTTGCAATTTAACTTTTTTGTTGTCTGGAGTAATAGCCAATTCTTTAGTAACACACTAAGTATCCTGAGATAAATAGTGCTTCACGAGGCAGACTTCTTCGTAAGTGTGAGATAAATAGTGCTTCACGAGGCAGACTTCTTTGTAAGTGTGATATAAATAGTGCTTCACGAGGCAGACTTCTTTGTAAGTGTGATATAAATAGTGCTTCACGAGGCAGACTTCTTCGTAAGTGTGATATAAATAGTGCTTCACGAGGCAGACTTCTTTGTAAGTGTGATATAAATAGTGCTTCACGAGGCAGACTTCTTTGTAAGTGTGATATAAATAGCATCCGTGAAATGTACGAAACCCTTATGAAACATGAATATTCTCAGGGAAACAAAGAATTGTGTTAACAGATCGCAAAGGCAATGAATGTATAATGTATCAGGTACGTATACACACAGTCAATCGTTGACGTAAATTTTTCTTTAACAAGCAACACCATATATATAGTAACTCCTGCCAGTTTGAATCTGTTAATGCAGTGCTATGTGTTTAAGTACCACCCTATTTCTGCTGTTTTTGTTGGTATAACGGATCTTATCGTAGACATGTTTGTCTGACGAGAAATATATGTTTAAACGGTTACAGAGCTTGGATGAATGATTCAGAAGACCAAATGCTGACTAAAATAAATCAAAGGATAAAGCTAGTGACTGGACTGAACACAGCACCCTCCAAGGAGAATTCACTGGTGAACCAATACGAGGTGGTGTATATTGCTTCACTGATATCCAACACATCTTGGCCAATTACTGAAAAGTGCACATGTGATTGGTCGTCGTTGGAAACGTTACTCGTTTTGTTTTAACATAACAATGTAATAGCGACAATACACATATATGTACATTTTAATACCATAAAACGAACTTGGAAATCAGAAAAAGGAAAGAAGAAACAGGTTGAAAGTGCAGGGAAATTACATGAATATCATATAGCATTTCTTATCATATACAACAATATGATGTATAATATGTCTGCCTGGCACATACTAGCTACACACTTTTGCTACTTTCTCTAGATCTGTTGAAATTGTTCATGTAAATGCTCATTCCTAATAATCTTGCTCTGTTGTACATTCAATCTCCTTCTAGGTATCGTTTCATTGTGCCAGGCAGAAAAGAAATAGACATGTTTTTGTATAGTTCATATTACAAAACTCACTTATGGCATTGTGGTTCAGAAAAGATAGTGATATGGTTGGATAGGTTTAATATAAAGACAAGGAATGAAAGGATAGACTATAGAATAAGTTCACCTGTTCTTCAAGACTATATTTATAATCTATTACTTGTACGAATAAATATTTGAACAATTTCAAAAATAGTTTACGTAACGTTACTCATTACATTTCATTATAGACGTCATCTGCATAGCATGAGAATGTAGCTTTAATTCTGGTTTTTTCTTTCTTAAACATATTTTTTCTTTCAATTATAATGCAATGCCACGAAACAGAAATATGTTTCCCTGCTCTGCAAGACAGTTCGTTTTGATCATGAAGGCGATTTCTGATAGAATGTCGGGTACGCGTTTTGTAAATATATTTTTATTATCTATATCGTATACGTCATTGCAAAACCATGTATAAGTAAAAACGAGTAACATATACTTTTAAATGGTCCTTTTTAATATATTTGACAATGTTTTCTAGCTGAAAATTACATATTAATGTAAGATCATCATTCAGGTGGTTAACTACGGAGTGGGCGGGATGCATATCGACCATATGGACGCTCTGGTAAGTAATTTATAGTCGGATATTTGTTATGTTTCCGTAAAGTTCACATTGCGGGACAAAATGTCAAACATGGTCCTAAATATTCAATAACCCCTCATATTTAAACCAATTTATTTTAGGTTTTTAAGGATGAATGTAACACACACGAGCCTGAAACATTTGGTAATAGATAATGTAAGTCAACAATGAATGACACTGCATCATACATCCTTCTAGGACTCCTCGGTTAGCGGCTTAACTGATGATAATCCAAATGGTTCTAAACTACTGTTGACACAGAAGGGGAGTCGGAAACCAAAGGATAGTCATGATAATGTTCCCCATATCTAGTTAATGTGAACATACCAGCCACAGCCAAACAAATCCATCTAGTCTTAATAAAACAAAGTACCCGTAATCCACCTAGTCTTAATAAAACAAAGTACCCGTAATCCATCTAGTCTTAATAAAATAAAGTACCCGTAATCCATCTAGTCTTAATAAAACAAAGTACCCGTAATCCATCTAGTCTTAATAAAACAAAGTACCCGTAATCCATCTAGTCTTAATAAAACAAAGTACCCGTAATCCATCTAGTCTTAA